GTTTCTATATATACTTCAATGGTTTAATCTATATGACTTTATATAATTTGACAAAACTAACACCATTAAGGATAATTTTGAGATTTAAAAAATAAGTGGACTTAAGTACTGACATATAAGTTTAAACATGAACTTATTTCAAATAAGTTTCCTTCCAAGACCCAAGTTATTATAAACCCATGTAGAAAGACTCACCGTCAATTTTCATTATAATTAATTTGACTTGAGTCCCACGAAGCCACTAAAAACAATTCAACAATCTATCATTTGTAAAATCGAACATTTGTCATCAATACTAGAACGACTCTTATGGGAGTACTATCTTGTCACTAGACCACCAAACTCGATTGTGGAAAATTGATCAATTTAAGATTGATTATTAAGTTTTGATTGTTTAAGATTCTGAATTTATTATTGAGAAATTGAGTTTATATTCAATTTGAAATAAATTGTAAATCTAACAGAATCTATTTATTGTAACGACAGCTATTACACACACTAATTAAGCGTGGGTGTTATGAAATAAATAATTTTCTTTCCTAAATTAAAAACTTGCCAATTTTACGCTTCATCCAAATTTCCAGCCCCTCTCTTTCTTAAGTCCCTTCACCGGTGCAACTTCCCTCTCCCAACTCTCCTCATGCCGATACAACTCACCCTAACCACCCACAGCCGCTGTGACTCCCCCCCCCCCCACCCCCAGAAAAAAAAAAAAACCCACGCCATTGTTGCTGCATCAATTATACGCCAGTCCAATACCTCTCTCTCTCTCTCGTCCGTTGTTTTTGCTATTCGGGTTGGAGGGGTTTGATTGCTTGTTCAGTGGTGGAGGGAGTTTAATTGGGTGTTTAGTGGTGCTGGTGGTGAAGGTTTGTTCACTTTGTTGAGTATTCAATGGTGGTGGTCACCTAATGACGTCTTGAAGATAGAATTCGGCAACAATTTGGTTATGGATCCCTATTTTTTGAGTTAAGAGGGTGTTGGCCGATTTGGTTATAGGTCTACATTTTTTGGATTAATGGGTTTTTGGGAAACGATCTTTAAGGGAATTAGTTGATGCACAAGTGCGTTGCACGTGAACTATTTTAAATACAAAATATTATATATTAAAATCAAATAATCTAGACCTATATGTTCATTCTATTCCATGATCCAAGTTCAACATTTGCCCAAGAAAAAGTAAAATTTAAAAATCTATTCCATGATCCAAGTTCAACATTTGCCCAAGAAAAAGTAAAATTTAAAAATTTTAATACGATATTTTTTGTCAATTTGATGATATAGAACTGAAAAATAAGTTGATGCCTCTTGAAAATTAATAAAATACACAACAATAGTTGAAACTCTTCTTTCAGTCTTTTGACTATCATGNAAAACCTGGCTTCTTCACCACCATCAATCTGAAACACACAATGGATAGAAATTATAAAAATTGCCAAAATCAAGAGTTGTAAACGATGAAAAAAATTAACAGGGTAAGGAAAAGAAAAAGAGGAAAATAGGAAAGGGAAAGAAAAGAATAGTGCTAAAAAACTGTAGTCTATTTGTTGTATTTTGTTAATTGAAAGTTGTAATCATATAACGAACAAATTATTCATATCTTCGTTCTTGATGGATTTTTCCAACTTCTCCTTTCAGTTGAATCATGACCTTGTATATACAGTTATAATCTTGAATAAGAAAATTTTTAAACCAACATTAGAAGGTAGGATGATTTAGCAGAGGGGTTTTCTATGTCTTTTAAGTTCTACTTGTATAATAAATGCTTATATTCAATGCATGATAAAATTGGTATTATAGAGCTTATTAAGGATATAATAGAAAAATAAAATTTTTTTATCCTAAGCCACTTTTATAAGTAGTATAGATTATTGGGGGTGAGGGTAAAAAGGGAGTTTAAGGGTGGGTGTGGTGGTAGTGAGGGAATTTATGGTAACAAATGGTGGTTGGTTGTAGTGGTGGTGGTGGAGAAGGAATTTACGAGGTGTAATGATAACGGAGTTGGAGGTGGGTTGTGATTATGGGGCGCGTAAAAGTGTGCTAGTTGCAAGTTTTGTTTTTAAAAGATAAGGGTTCTACAATAATGGCATCACAAAAAAATATTGGATTATAATAAGGGATAATTTAGTTTTTTTTTTTGTATAATCTATTACATCCGTTAATATTGACAATTTATTCACAAGTTGGACGAGATTTAGTGAAATTCGTAATTATTGAGAGGGGTGATAGACCCCAAGTTCAAGTAAATTTTATGTAATTTGCCCTAAAAAACTAAGCATTTAAGCTGGGCTTGAACTCGACCGGTCAGCAAAGACCACATAGATAAATTACACGAAAGTGCCCACACCGGACATAAACACTTATCCAAAACCGTAGCTATCCCTCTCCCCATTTCCACCGTCTAGACAAGGGAACAAACTTGGGGGTGCAACTTGGACAGATCAACCCGAATTTAACCGAATCTAACCCAAAAAAAATAAGGTTTTGGTTGAAATTTTTAATATTTAGATTGAGCATGAGTTAAAAAACATTAACTTGAATTGAATTTATATAATAACTTGATTGAGGTCTCACATTACTGGGTTCGACTTGAATATTATGATTTAACATTAAGTCTAGTAGATTTTTTTATATTAGTTTGGCTATTGTGGCTATTATCTTTTTATGTTAAGAAAAATGTAATTTAGTTTTTATTAAGTATGTTTTTTTATACTTAATATTATGGTTTTTATATTAAACATTTGATTGAAGTTGTTGGTTGTTATTTCAGGTGTATATTATGTAATATGTATCAGATTTAAAGCAACAGGCTAATTTCGGGCATGAACAATCCCAACCCGAAATAAGCCCAAATAACTCGAATTTAATTTGAGCCCATTTGAGTTTAACTTGTGCAATACTCGAATTGAATATCTCGAATTGAGTTCAAATTAGAGTTAGGGTTAAAAATTTTATACTTAGAGTTGGATTAGGTTTGATATCTCAACCCGCCCAAGTTACAACCCTAAAAGAGACTCTGACATCAAAAAAGTTTTCCTTCTATGAAGATGGATTTTTGAATCAAAAAAAAAAAAGTAAAAATTGTTTTATTTTTATTTTTTTATCTCTTGTAGTCTAATCTAACTTAATTTTTTTTAATGACCAGCGTGCGTACCTTCTTACTAACTCATGTTGATTTGGTGGCAACTTCTTCTTCTTCTTCTACATTTCTCTCGCTCTCTTATACTTTTTTCACTAGAGCATATCTTGAACTCACTCTACTTCAAGCCGCATTAGCGATTTGAGTTAATCTGAGATGGAACATGGACAATACTCATGTTGAAGCTTGGAGTTTCACAACATAGATATTTGACTGTGTGACCACCGAATAATAAATAAAATATAAATAAATGGAGCTAATCTCCGCTGTCACAAGTCCGTCCTGACTAGGTAGCCGCTAACATGGAAGCGGCGTAGTCGTCGTTGAGTTCACCGCATGAAGAAGGCGACATAATTGTCTGTGATACTATTTGATTTTGTATTTTTTTCAAATGATTGCAAGTTTGTGTGTTTCTCGGTTGTTTCTTCATAGTCAGCACAGCATCTTTGCCTCGGGTGCCCATGGCTTTTCCTGCCAAGGGTCCCTCCTTTTTAAAAACCCCTTTGCGTCTACAATGGCATTTGGTGACCCTCTGCTTTAGTCCCACGCACGCCATCAATCAATGGTCTTTTGTTTTTTCATTATACATCAAAAAAATAAATACATTTTATCCTTACAATATCAATTAAATAATTTATTTGTAGTTTTTTGATTGCGTAATTTTTCAATTCATATCATATCAAATGAGAATAATAAACTTTAGTGTATTAATAAGGTTGTATTATTAAATGTGTGTATATAATTAGATTACATTAAACTGTATTAAATATAAATCATGCAAAAACAAAATTCATCTTATATCTATATACTGTTGTATATGCAACCTGTTTATAGAAACTCGAATTAATAAGCAACCTAAAACAGTTTGTATACTGTGTTAGATATAAACTAATCTAAACATAATGTATAACCAATAAAATAAGTGCATTCACGATGGCACAAATCTGCATGAACAATTAAATTAGAAAACTAAAATATACAATCCGAGCTTTTTGTAACTATAATTTTTTTAAGACAGATTGTTCTCTCTTGGTGTTCAAGGTACCTTTCAAGATAAAACAGATTTTGTCTTTGTAAAAGTAACACTTAAATGTCCAAAGATCAACAAACACAACTTATGTTTATACTTGAATCGAACGATGAACAGAACACACAAGGAAAAAGATTATTATTTTTCCTTAGTATATTATTTTTTGAGTTGGGTTCACTTCCTAACTATTGGGTGCACTCATTTTTTTAATTTATTTATTTTCTTTTAAATTCACTTACCATTATCATTTTTTTAAGGTAAAATTTACCATCTTTTAAGGTTTTATTTTTTTTACTTTTTGATATCATAATATTTTTCATGAAAATGAGTCACAAATAGATTACCAATATTTCATATTCAGTCCATAATATCATATTATATAAATCTTAAATTGCATAAAGTATAACTTTTAAAGTTTTAATCCTTATTGATTATTAGTTTCACAGGCGTAACTTATCTTTTATTAAAAATTGTTGATATATTATACATTCTCTAATAGTTTAAAATTTTAAAATAAATAATTGTTTAACATAATATCAGAACAAGAGATCTTTACGTTCCAATCTCATTATCATCTAAATTATTATAAAAAATTTACGTATTAAGTCCAAAATTAGTCTGTATATTAGGAAAGGTGTAAAAATTTAAATATTTTAATTATATTCTCTTTAATAATTTAAAATTTTAAAATAAACGATTATTGAACAAAAATTAAAAATTTTAAAAAACTATTTCCCATAATTGCAATCTGGGAAAAATGAAAAAGTAGAGTAGTTACTTTTACAAGCCTTAAAAGATGTGCAAACTTTCAAATTTTTCTTACCCCTCTGCATGTACAGCACCTGTCCACCCCTAAAAGATGTGAGCAACCTAAATCTAGTTGTTAAACGAAGAAAGGTCGTTGAAACAGTAGATGCTATTTAAAAAAACTAATAGATCTATTCATCCAACGGCTCTTTTCATTTAGACCGCAAATCTGAGTTGTAAATTTGACATACACAATATTTTCCAAATTTTGTCCATCCATCTTATCCCGGAGCCTCGTTTAGCATCCCTCTCTCTCTCTCTCTGCCAATAAATACACTCTTCTACATAACCTTATGCCCAACTCTCTCTCTCTCTCTCTCTCACTCAAATATGGCTTTTGTTCTTGTAAATGCTTTTGTGCTTGTGCAGCTTTCAATGCTGCTACTGGGCTGCTTCACTGTACTTGGTGATGAGGTTTATTCAGTGAGTTGGACTCAGTCCCCTCATCTTCCACCAATCTACTCTCCTGTTGAAGCTCCTAAACCCGGCAAGCATCACCACCCCGGTCACCATCGTACCAGAAATCAGCCACCGAGCCACCCACCTCTTCAGCCCCCGAGCCACACACCTCTTCAGCCACCGAGAAAACCGCCGCTTCAGCCTCCCACTCAGCCACCCAGTTATCCTGTCTCAACCAGGGAGCTTGTAGCTGTGCAAGGTGTTGTTTATTGCAAGTCCTGCAAGTACACTGGGATTGATACCCTCTGGAAAGCTTCACCACTTGCTGGTTAGTTGGAAGTTCATAGTTGATACTCTCTTTAATATATGGATATAGTTAGTTTTTGTCATTTGAACTTTTTAAGTATTGGCTAGGTTTCTCTCAATCTCCATGTGTGCGCGCGCGTGTGAGAGAGAGAGAGAGATAGAGAGCATTTATATTTGGTTGTAGCCTTGTGCTAGCTTGAATGATGCATCTTCGCTGCTGAGATGCATGCACATGACCTTGCAGGCATGATGTGTTTCTACTAGAGAGGTAGAGATTAGAGTNAGCACACTCCATTCTTCCAAGCACAGTATTCACCAGAACCATAGTCAGACTTCAACCAAAACTCATATTCCAACAAACCATGGCTAACTGTCAATGTTAAGCCATCCAGCAATGCACAGAATTCTGCTTTCATGTTCGAACACTCCCCATAATAAAAGGATGCAGCAAGAACAACACCACCCCCCACTAATTTCTCAAAATAGCCCCTCCACCAACTGGACCAGGATTACCTTTAACAGCACCGTCTACATTCAACTTCATCACACCTGGCCTTGGATATTCCCAGCAAGCCCAGACAGCCTTACAAGATAACCAACAAGTCAAACTAACTTTTGGCTGCCTTAACACAAACTCATCCTCAACAGAGTCTCAAACTCTCACCTTAACATTCCTAACCTGATATCTCAAGAGACTGCACATCTTGAGAAATAGAGCATAAGAATTTAAAGCACTTTCTCCAGCTATCCTCCTACATCTCTCCTTCTAAACTTGCCAGAAAATTAGCAAGGCAATACTCCTAACCAGCCCATGACAAACAGATTGCTTCTTGAAAATCCTGCAGAGTCTCTTCCATCTGACTAAAAAAATCCAGCCTTTTTATGTAGTTTAATATTTCAATTGTAGTGCTTAATTTTTAAAACTTTTAATTCTGAAAGTAAATTTAAGCCATCAATATCAGTAGATACTCAGAAAAAGTGGAGAGTAATTTTGGACCAAACAAAATTAGACATTGATTTGGGCTCTTAAGATTTAAGGTCCTAAAAATTTGAATTCTCTCAAAAAAAATAAAAAAGGCATAATATACTTGAGGGATAGATTTTTTGGGGGCCCTCAAAAACTTGGGGCCTATGCAGCCACCTTAGTGGCTTATGCCAAGGGCGCCCCGACACCAACTTCAATATACAGATAATAATATGACTTAACATCAAATATGTATTGGAAAAAATGAAATTCAAGAGATAAAGTGTACGACATGGTGAAACACAGATTAAGTTGCTCTTTTAAAACGATTTGTGCCTCTTTATGAAAGAAAACAATGCAGAAGGTAAAGCGCCATCCACATAATATAACAGTTCAGTCTATTGACTCTTATTTCACTCAGATCTGCACAATCGAATGAAACAGAAAGTTTACACGATATCTTTCAATTTTGTCCAGAAACTTATGTAGTAGAGAAAAATATAGTAGATATTCAAATTGTATATTTCTATACTGATCTATATAAATAAAGTAATGCTATTTAGATCTAAAAATTTGACATAATTTGTTGATTTAATGATGTGGCTTCATTGAAACCATTAGATTAACATCAAGTTCCAATGTTTGATAGCACCCATAATCAATTCAAAAATTAGAGTGAATTAGGTCAGTAAATTAAGTCACAATGACATTGCTCATATAAATATATATATACAGAAAAAATAGATATTTAATATTCCGTAACTATTTCCATATTTAATCAGATAACAACTATGAAAATTAAATAAAAAATAATTGTTAGAAAACTAACCTTTAAAATCTTTAATATTCAAAAACTGAATTATGAAAAATAATTAAATAAAATACTAAAAAATGGATTTAATATTAATTAATATTATGTTTTATTTAGCCGAGTCAAGGGGGATCCGCTACCCAAATGTGATCTAGGTCGGTCAGCGTATTTTGTAAATACCAAAAATTCAATATCTCCCCTGCTTGTCCAAGATTAAAGGAATTTTAATCAGATTCATGGACTTTGACTGGTTTCAAAATTGTTGATCTAACATGATCGATTACATTTATTGGCGAATCACAATCCAAGATATTAAGGCACGTAAATAATATTTTTCACATGGTACAATTCTAGGTACATTGAATCTTTTTAAGTTTGGTAATGATCAAAATTTGATACACTAAACTTGACCTTTTCTCTCTAGAGGTTGAGAGTAGTTGCTAACTTGAAAATGACGCAGGAAATGATACTTTCCATTCAGAGGAAAATGACAAGGCTAAAGAGTTGAAAGAAAATCTTGATAATTTTTTTTGATGATGTTCTTCAAAGGAATCTCTCATCTAAAGAGAAAAGTAACATAAAATTTCATGGCAGGATTCAACGTCTAAAGACTAGAAGATTAAATATCAATACTTTAAATATTAAGGATCTTCAAGTGAGGTTAAATGCTCCTCCTTAATATTTAGAAGGTATAGTTTGACTTATGGACTCGTTCTGGTTTTTGTACATAGTTTCGGGTTGTGAGAGACTATTTTATTTATAGACTAAGTATATGGTCGGACAAACTTTCTGAGTATTGCCCCGTGTAACTTTTTTTGGCCTATTTTGAATTTCATTTTATATCTTATTTTTTTCAGTTTAATAAACTTATTTATCTTTCAAAAAAAAAACTTGACTGTTTTAAGCCAATTGGAATTATTTAATTAACTTATGCAAACCATTAGAACTCAACGTCATGGGTTCCTACAAATTACAACCAAAATGACCAAATTCTCATAAGACGTTACAGCCCAAGAAGGGCATGCTCGTTTGGAAAATTGAAGTATGGGATTAAACTAAGTGAGTACAATTGTTATTTAATTCAAAGATTTAGATCAAATTCCAAAGTTCTGTCTTACAGCTATTTTAGTACTGGTCCGGTGCTAAAGTGATAACTAACACCTTATTTTGGGAATAAATCAATATCATATAATAGGTAGTATTAAATAAGAGACGATTGCTATTACTATCTAAAATAACATGAGTATTCTTATAGACTAAAAATTTATGCATTGATGTGTAGGGTATTTTTGCCTTTTTTTTTTTACTTTAATATCATATATTAATCATTCATCTAATCATAGATTGGTATGGACTAAAAATTTAGGGTAAAGTGCACCATTGATCCTTGAGGTTTATTAAGTTTAAAACTTTGATCCCTAAAGTCTCAATTTCATCAATTAGTCTTCAATCTTTACACATTTGACCAATTTCGTTCTTAATCCTCACTGCAGAATAAAAAGTTGACGGAAAAAAGGATGTGAGGGGGCACATTAAGGACATTATGGGAATTTTGCCTAACCTTTTCATACCTTATTCATGCCGGTCTTTGTCTTCTCTCTCTTTCTCGGCCGGGCCACCTATTTTTAGCACTACCACCACACCTCTACCCATCCAAAGCCACCTCTTTTGAACTGTTTAAAGCTTAGACCTAAACACACTTCATCTCCCTCTTCTTTTTATTCTTCTTTTTTGTCTCACACACACTCCGACAGACCACAAAACCCACACAGAAGTACACAACACACACCTACTATTTCTCTCTGTCTCCGATTCTCTTTCTTTCTACACACAACTCACGCCGACTCAAGAATTCATGCACCTACGCTCTCTGTTATTTTGTTCGGGGAAACTACACACAGATCTTATGTGGTTTGTCCTTTAATTATTCAAACTCTCTGATATTGGAAATATTACACACAGACTCTCTAAAATTTGTATGCGTATAACACTTAGATCTCTGCTATATATATATATATCAGTTAATAAATTATATTTAAACCCCCGAAGTTTGTAAATATATAATATTTAGACCCCTTAAATTTAAAATATTGTACTTATACAAAAAATACTCTAATCAAAGATAGAATATCAAATATGTTAAATTTTATAACCAAAATTTACGTTCTATTGTATCATTTATTGAAATAAAATTTTAACTTTTTCTTAAAAAATTATAATTAGCATATAATTATACTATCTATAGGAATAAAACTAAAAAATCAAACAATTGGTCTAAGTCATTCATAATAGAACATAAATTTTACATCCAAAATTCATGTTCTATTATGTNTCATAATAGAACATAAATTCTCATCCAAAATTCATGTTCTATTATATTATTTATTAAAATAAAATCAAAAATAAAATTTTAATTTAAAAAAAAAATCATAATTAGAATATAATTATATTATCTATTAGAATAAAACTAAAAAATTAAATAAGGGGTCAAACTGTAATGGACACAATATTTTTTAGCTTTAATTGGGGTAATTTGGTATTTTAATTTGGTCGTTTAAATGATCAAGTTAAATTCTAATAGACAATATAATTGTATACTAATTACGATTTTTAAGAAAAAATTAAATTTTGATTTTTGATTTTATTTCAATAAAAGATCAATAGAATATGAATTTTAATCGTAAAATTTAAAATATTTGAAATTTTATCTTTAATTGAAGTATTTTTGGTCTAACTATAACATTTTAAACTTAAGAAGTTTAACTAATATATATTTACAAACTTCATGGGGTCTGATTGTAATTTATTAACGGATATATTTATAATAGGCATCTAAATATTATGCGCGTACAAACTTTAGAGAGTCTATGTATAATATTTCAAATATTAGAAAATCTGAGTGATTAAGTGACAAACTTTAGAAAATTTAAGTGTAATTCTCCCTAATATATATTATACAATAGATATATACGAGGATATTCAATATAAGCTTGTGCATAGACCAAAACTTATCCCTGCTTCAATACCCGTCCCACTAAACTTGTTAGATTTATATTTATTAAGATTTAAAAATTTTCAACCCTAATTCAAGAGAATCGAGACGGCAAGAAATACACACACATATATAACAATTATAATTGTTGTTGCTTTTACTCAATTGTGTAAGAATTATATTGTTAATTTATTTATTTATTTTTGATTTTGATTTTGATCATATTATGTGATATATGTATACAGTGACATAACTTGTAC